CGTTTCAGAGGTCATACTGCCTCCGTCATCGCCCTGATGACGGAGGCAGTATGACCTCTGAAACGTTGGTTAACATCGACCAGACTACACAGCGCAGCAACCCAGGAGACAGAAATCTTCATACTCACCGCTGTGAACGAGAGCCATGTTGTTGAATTCATTAGTTTTTAATGTGTTTTTGGTATCTGTAGATTGGCATTTGTGTTCTGCTTCCAGAAACTGAAGCTGATGTTGCTTAAGAAGGATGATACTAAAACTAACAGTCTGATGTCACATCTGCGCAAGATCAATGAGCATCTGGGCCGAAAGGGCACCCGCTTCCTTACAGGAGACACCATGTGCTGCTTTGACTGTGAGCTCATGCCACGCCTCCAACACATCCGGGTAGCAGGTGATTGAACTGTTTAGTCTGGTAGAAATTGAGTCATGTTTCAGAGGCGCTTATTGTGTTTATCATCAGGGTGACAGTCAATTGCATATCGCGGCTGGTTTTGATGAAAACGAGGAACTGCAATACATGCCTTGTCATTTAATTTTAAGTGCCGTATGCGGTTCAGAATTTCAGTAGAAGTCAGATATAATTAAAGTGTGTTTCTGTGTTGAGCAGGGAAGTATTTCCTAGACTTTGAAATCCCCGTGGAACTGGAACACCTATGGCACTACATGTACCACATGTACCAGCTGGACGCTTTCACCCAGAGCTGCCCAGCTGACCAGGACATCATCAACCATTACAAGCTGCAGCAGGTGGGGGTCAGTACTCCAGCTACTAACAATACTAATTAGTTTCACATTGCCGTTAATTTACGTACAGTGAAAAATCATTAATCCTACATCAGCTAATCCATAGAACTTAACAAGGTATTTCTTATATTTGTTTGCTTAACACCTGATTTTGCAATAAAAGCCAACCTTTTTTCTATGTTCTGTTGCTTATACTGTAATTTACTTAACCTTAAGCGGCCCATCCACGCACGAGTCTGGCTTGCGAGTCCGGCTCGGCTCGGGTTCCATTGAGCCAAACTTGTTTGTTTGTGGGGGTGTCACGAGCTCAGTCTGCTATGCATGTGCGGTGAAACCATATCCGAGCCCGGCTCACAAGTCAAGCTCGCCGACCCAGACTCGCAAGTCAGACTCATACGTGGATGGGCCGCTTTATATGAATGTTACGAGGGTCCCTTGTTACCAAAGCATGGCTTGTTCCTTTGTTTTGAACATTAATAAGTTTACATTAAAGCATAAATTGTTTCTGTATAAATCTTGGGGTCCGCAATGGCCGCGCGATATGAGGCGTGTTCCTTGTGCCGCTTGGTCACTGGGACCGTGGGTTCGAATCCCACTCAAGCCATGGATGTCTGTCAGCGTTTTTCTGCATTGTGCTGTCCTGTGTACAGGTAGAGGCCTTGTGATGGGCCAATCCCTCGTCCAAGGACTCCTACCGAATGTCTATAGATCGAACCAACGAAAAGTTGGGACCCGCAGTGCTCAGGCACTTGAAGAATGGGTGCTGCTATTTCCAGTTTGTGTATTTGTTCTTGGCTACCAGTGGACTTCATTTGGTTATGTGGTGTGCATGGTATGAATAATGCTTTATCTGTTACAGGGAATGAAAATGAAGAAACATGAAGAGCTGGAGACACCAACGTTCACCACATCAATTCCAGTATCCGTTGCAACCGAAGACTAACTAACTTCTATCTTTCGAGTTTGCCTCTTCTTTGGCATTGCTGCCACTGTCATGTTAGGAAGATCTTTTTGTGCTGTGCAATGGATAGATCCGCATCATTTCTTGCAATTAGATTTGTGGATCTTGAAACACATTTAAAAATGTAATAAAATTATATAGAAAAGAGGATTAAATCATAGACTGACAGTGACAACATCTACACCAGTAAAGACAAGATGATTTCAGAACCAGGCATCTTTCATATAAGACGTCTTAACTTTATGCTTCCTCATTCATTTGTGTGAATCTGATTGCCGCAGAGAAGAGAACCGTGCCATGCCTTCGTCCTAAGATGATTGGCTCTGAAATCTTCAGATAAAAATCAATAAACTTTTAAAAGAGGGAAGAAAGAATAGTTTCAGATTCCTCTAAAACACAGATTTTGAAAGAGAGAATATGTGTTCAAAATGACGTTGTTGGAAAGCTGTGTTGAATATGTTCATCCCTTATTTTCATGACTTACATTTATAAAGATCTTGGTTTGGTCTTTCTAGTCTCAAATGCACAGTCTTCTTGCGCTGGGATTTAGAAATGACGGTCTGTTCGATTTTAATTAACTGTTGCATTTAGCTTGATGAGAGTTTTGTATTGAGATCGATGGAGGTTTACGTCGAACTGTTAACAACTAGCTCTTGGTACTCGATCCCTGCACATTTCCAAAATTGTAACTGTTTTCGTAGCTGTTCGTCTTGCTGCTCCAAGGGACGAGCTGTTTTTTCAGAGAAAAATGTTGTAACTCTTTGTATATGCCACTTTACAACTCCATTTTGGTCATTATCTGTGAAATACATTAAACCATAAACTGTACATTCGGTGTAATCATATATACTCGCATAACCGAGGCACATTCTTTTAAAAATTCTGCCAGACAGTGGAATATATATGTTTTGTAAGGTTATGTTATATCAATCTTTTAATGATGTGTACATGATCTGAGTAACCTCTCGCCTATCTGTGCACAAGTTTATAACTGTATTTTGAATAATATTAATGATACCAGGTGATCATCAGTGTGAGATTATTCTTATCGTGAAAAACAATTATTTTCAAACAAAAATTTGCTTATTGCCATCATTGTATGAACCAAGTCCATTGCCAAATTAACGTAGCAAAGATATTGTAATAGCAGAACATTGTAGTTACAGTCTTGATTTATAGAGGAAACCTGGCTCAAGTGCTGTTTTTTTTTTAAATATTCCTTTGGTTTCATCTGGAAGTGATTCAAGCCTTGTTTTGAGGGTACTTCTTGCGAGTTTAAATATGATGCGTGATTAATCGTCTTGGTTTTAAGAAATAATCACCCATTTTAACTTCAAGTTGCTTCTTTGATTATGATTTAGTAGTTAGTAAATATTAGAATGTGCAGTATTGTGACCGGTCTCACTGATGATTTCATGTAACATTGCTACGCTATATTTTTACTGATTTTGTGTAAGCCTGCATTGAATTTTGTTGGTTTATTTATAAAAGTATTGGTTTTGTATTATTTGTACTTCTGATAGTTCTGGGAATGGTATATGAACAGGTTGATCCGAGTGATGCTTACAGCATCGCGCTTGTACAGTTGGAAGCTCTCCGTGATGTAGCTGTGAAGATCGAAGCTGTCTGCCATCAGCAGAACACGCTGCTACTCTGGACTAGTCTTGGTTCCTTTATCTTGAACTATCTGATTGTTTCCTTCATTACCTTTTGTTTTACTCAGACGTTCAGAATCCTCGACTATAAAATGATCCAGAAATTATCAGGATTATGTGCATATATAATTCCACCTCTTACATAAGAAACAGAATTAGCTAAAAACCTGCGCAATTTACAGTAGGTACCCCATTTCTTGATCATTTTATAGTCGAGGATTCCGAACGTCTGAGTAAAACAAAAGATAATGGAGGAAGGAACCGAGACTAGTCCAGAGTTGCAGCGTGTTCTGCCGATGGGAGACAGCTTCAATCTTCGCAGCTACATCACGGAGAGCTTCCAACTGCGCGAGCACGATGCTGTTGGCGTCATTCGGATCAACTATTCCCAGAACTTTAATTATTATTCAGTTCATAAATTAGATGTAATTGTTACGATTCTGACAGTTGTACTTTTAATACAGGAAATTACCATATGAATGAAAAGGGAGAACAATCTAGAAGCAGTAAAGTTCTAGAGGCCAGCATAAATACTTGGCGTAACTGTGGACACACTTTCTTCCAGAGTTTGAGCTTCAGTGTAATACCGATGCTTTATTTTGGTGTCCGTGTTTACAGAGAGGGAAATGTGGAACTTCTTGTTTCTTTATCATTTTTGGAAGTGCTAAATATCTTGTTTTGTAAATATAAGTTGAAATCGTTGATGGAGGCATTTGAAATGATGAAGTGAAATTGTACAAATGATTATTGTATGTTTGAGCACTTGTCGCTCAGAAATTTGGGCAGAGTTGTGCACGTGATTGAGTCTGCTCGGTTGAATGATGTGCAAAGAGGTGGAGCATTTCAATTTGTTGTGTGGTTTTATATAGAGTAAAGTGTCTGGTAACAGTTGTACTGCACGGATGGCGATTCTTCTGCTCCTGTCTTGGCACTGAGAGGTACCCCCACAACACTACCGCTTCCCTTGCTCACTTTTTCTTTGTGACAATGATTTGTGGTGAGGCTTCAACACGTTTATTCAGCAGTTGACATGTTCATAAGTGTAGGTAAGTGTTTAAACAGCTAATGTACTAGTTTGTATTCCCTTCCATGTTACCTGTAATGTTCAAGGTCATACAAACTTAACAGCAAAGGTACAGTTTACTTTTTTTGTCCTGGCCATTTTAGGTCGTGGCACAAGTGGGTCACTCCGCTTTATATATCCAAAGCCTTCCAAGAATACATATACCTAATAATGACAGATTTTTAGTGAAATTCTGCCATTTTGTTTTCCTTCTATTAACTTTTTTTTTGGGGCTGAAAAATGCATTTTTGTAAAATTATTTTTTGAAGTGACATGCATCACGCAAAGAAATTAACTGTGAAAAGTTTCATGAGACAGCAGAAATGTCGTTCGCTTGCAATGCTGTCTCTTCTGTGTACTTTATATTAGTAATAGTAATAATAATAACTATAATCTTGAACTGAAAGCAATTCACTTTCTTGGCCTTCACCTGCTCCTTCATAATACTTTATTTATCATCTCTTGTAAAGAACATGACTTTATTTATAGCAGCACAGCAGATATTTACGCTTTTGGTTTTCAGTACTTTGAAATGTCTGTGTGGTTTAATCATGTTTTATCTATTTCTTGTGTCAGCAGTGTAAAAGCATTTGAGCTTTTTTTTGTCGTTAGTGTTTTCCGCTTTGGCTTGCAAGTATAATTTTTGGTGGTATTAACAGAGCACTAAAATCTACATTTATAAGAATACTGAAATGGTAACGAATGGCTGGGTGCCGAAGTGGTGCGTTAAAGGTGTCTCGTTTGTAATGCCATGTTGTCTGGTAGAAGTTCATCAATGTTTCAGAGGCACTTGCTGCCTCTGTCATCATGGTGATTGCCCCAAAAGATGGCAGTTTGTCACGTGTGTTTCTGCTATGTTCCATATGTGGTGCTTCTCGAATGAGAATGGATGGGAAAATTCACGGTGTGGATGTGACATTGTAAGGAGCAATAAGCAGGGATTCAAAATATAAGTTTTTGTAAAAATTTTTTCGTAAAAAGTTATTTCAACAGAGTAAGTAAATGGGAGAAAAAGGCACTCATTCTGAGTCAGTGTTAGTCTCAGATAATCTTTCTGATATTCATGTCCTAAATCTTAGTGATGCGAATTAGGACTCCTTGGATGGTAAATGACTCGCAAGCGCTGTTTGCTTAACAAGACGATCTGATCCCGTATAACCCCGTGGTCTCTACTAAGTATTACAGAGAGGGAGAAGACAAGGTAATTGTGCACAGTGGTATGGAAATGTCTCAGTAAGCAGTAGTATGAAGATAGGATTTGAGGTTTCTGTGGCGTTGAGTCTGAAAATGGCTGTCTTCTGGGTTGTGCCATGTAGTCTGGAAGAAGTATACCAAGGTTTCAAGAGGACCTTGGTGATAGAGGCAGCAAAGACCTCTGAACTTCTACCAGATTATACAGTGCAACAACCCTTAGGTATGCACTTGTCTCTGTTGCCAGCATTGTACATAGTTTGGCAGACAGTTGAAAAGGGAGGTAAGCAGACAACGCTGAGGGCCCTTTCACACGTGAGCTGAAGCGACTGCTGGGGATAGAAATCCCAGCAAAATGCATTGCACCCTTTCAGACGATAGCCGGTAAATCTGTGTGAGCGGCTTGCTGGAGCTCTTCAACTGACCCCACAAGAAAATGTGGTTAAATATGAATATCATTGGAGGTACTCGACAGTTCCTTTGCATCCTGTCGATCAGCCGGAAAAAGTCAAGATAGGCCTGACATCACGGTATTGTGATGTGGGGATGTCCCATGTTATCTCCATGCAGTTGAAAGGCTGAAACCATGGATTGTTGAAGGAGACTGGATGTTGGTGGCCCAGGACAGGGTCCAGTGGAGGACTTTGGTTAATTCGGTGATGAACCTTCGGGTTCTGTTAAGCCATCTAGTTAGTGTGTGTGTGTGTGTATATATATATGTATGATCTCTAAAACTGGTTAACACAGTGTCCCAGAAACATATATATATATATATATACAACTGAGATAAAAATTCGAAATATCGCGCCATTGTCCTATAAGTTGGCAGACATGTTACCAATACTATAAAGAGTATACTATAGGTGGCAGTATAATGCAGACAAACAACGCCATCACAGTGCCAGTTTGAAGATGGCTGCTCCACTAGTTACATGCACTGAAGAAGAACAACGTTCTGTAATTCGTTTTTTGATCAGTGAAGGTGTGAAACCGATTGAAGTTCATCGACGGATGAAGGTTCAGTATGGTGATGCATGCTTGTCACAGCAGCAAGTGTACGAGTGGAGTAGGAAATTCAGAAATGGTGTGACGTCTGTGGCAGACGCTCCTCGCCCGGGTCAGGCGCACAGAGTTGTGACCCCGAGTCTATTGCAGCAGTTGAAGCCCTAGTGATGGAGAATCGCCGAGTGTCGGTGGATGAAATAGCCGAAATTCTTAACATGAGTCACGGATCAGCACACCATGTCATCACTATCACCAGTGCCTCATATTCAGACCTCTTGAAGAATCATCTTCGACCTGCAGTCAGATCAAAGCGACGTGGACTTTTGACTAGAGGTGTCCTTTTGCGACATGACAATGCTCGGCCCCATACTGCCCGTGCAACAGTTGCAACAATCAAAGACTTGCACTTTGAGTGTCTTCCACATCCGCCATACTCACCAGACCTAGCCCCAAGTGATTACCACATGTTTGGGCCACTCAAAGAGGCGATGGGAGGAAAGAAGTTCCGTTCTGATGAAGAGGTACAGCAGGCGGAGGATGAGTGGTTGCGCAGACAACCACAAGAATTTTTTTCTAGAGGAATCCATACACTTCGTAAACGCTGGAGGGCCTGTATTGAACGAAATGGAGACCATGTAGAAAATGATATAGTTGCGTACCGCTTTCATTCAATAAATTAAATTTAAAAAAAAATTACGGTTTTCATTTGACTCACCCTCGTACATATAATGTTTCTGGGACACTGTGTTAACCAGTATTACAGGTATCAATAGAGACATATCTAGCCAGCATTAGAGATCATCATATGCCTGTAAGCACATCTAAATGTAAGTAAATTTCAGAGAGATACCATCTCAGGCAAGACCCACATGCCACTCTGTGTATTTCCAACTTCTGACACTAGGAGACATTGCGCATGCAACCGTTTGTCAGTTTAGTTATGGGAAAGTAAGTGAATATGCTAGTTGCTCTCATGATTGTTGGTGATTTACGATTAATAATTAAACCATTGAAGTGTTGTTATTTGTGAAAGTTTTTAAGTATTTAAAGTGTCTGCATTCGTTTATGTGCGTGTAACATTTGTGCAGTTCTTGAAAATCTGCTAAGAGATGTAACCTTCTGTGTTCAGCCTCACAGGGTCTCTGCTTGACTCGGTGAGTGCTTCACCTGGTCTCTGCCTCACACGGCCTCCACTTGTATTGGTCTGTGCCTCACCGGTCTCTGTCGAAGTAAGTCTTTGCAGACAGCTTGGCGGAGATCGTTCCATAGAGAGCACGATTCGTGCAGAGACGAGTTCTCCAGAAACCGGGTCCTTCGGGGACAGGTAGCGACGGAAACCGGGTCATGCAGACACCGGTTATTGCACGGATCGCGTGGGAAGAATTTTCAAAATAATTTCAATTTTATCGAAACATCAGAAAATATAGGAAAATATCCAGAAAACAGGAAAAAAATTCCGAAATATAATTTTTCGAAAATTTTTGTTATTTTCGCTTATGACATTTATAACCATTTATAAATTATTTAAAAAAAAATTGAATATCTTTTCTAAACTCTCCCAAGAGATGTATGGCAAACTCGGTGAATGCCTCATCCTGTCTCTGTCGGACTCGGCCTCTATCACACCCGGTTGCAGCCTGCCTCGATTCTGCACCAACAGTCCTCTGCAGGTCTCGGTTACTGCGGTCCGTGTCTGCCGCACCTGGGTTTCTCAGAGACTGCAAGTCAGAGTCGTGTCATACAGAGACCGGTCCGTGCAGATCTCGTGTCAGGCACAGACCGCATTTTTCAGAGAAACAGTACATCAGAAACAGTCCGACACAGACCGGTTCTGTAAGGCATCAGGTGGTAGAATTTTGAAATATTTCAAATTTTCAAAAAAATGCTGGAAATTGTCCAAGAAGCGCACAAAGAATCGCCTGGCCTTGCCTTTCCCCTCTTTGCCTTGCTGGCCTCGCCTTGCCTTGCCTTACCTCGCTTCGCCTTGTCTGGCCTCGCTTCGCCTGGAATCGCCAAGCCTGGCCTCGCCGTTCCTCGCCTTGCCTTGATTCGCCTTGCGTGGCCTTGCCTGGCACCTCCTTGCCTCGCCTCCCTGGCCTCGCCGTTCCTCGACATTCCTTACCTTGCCTTGCTTCGCCTGGCCTTGCCTTGCCTCGCCTCGCCTGGCCTCGACGTTCCTCGCCTTGCCTTGCTTCGCCTGGCCTTGCATTGCCTCTCTATTCGTAGCCTGGCCACGCCGGCCCAGCCTCGCCTTGCCTCGCCTCGCCTGGCCTCACCTCGCCTCGCCGTTCCTCGCCTTGCCTCGCTTCGCCTGACCTCGCCTTGCCTCGCTTGGCCTTGCCTGGCCTCGCCGTTCCTTGCCTCTCCTTGCTTCGCCTAGGCTTGTGTGGTCTTTCCTGGCCTCGCCTCGCCTCGCCTCGCCTCGCCGTTCATCGCCTTGCCTTGCCTTGCCCGCCTGGCTTTGCCTGGCTCGCCTTGCCTTTCCTTGTCTCGCCTGGCCTTGCGTGGCCTTGCCTGGCCTTACACCGCCTTGCGCGGCCTCGCCTGGCCTAGCCTCGCCTTGCATCAACTGGCTTAGCCTTGCCTTGTTTCGAATGGCCTTGCCTTGCCTGGTCTCGCCTGGCCTAGTCTCGCCTTGGCTCGCCTTGCTTTGTCAGGCGTCGCCTCGCTTATCCTGGCCTCGC